CATTCAATATACAAATGCACTGAATTTTACCCTTCAGACCAATTCAAATTATGATAAAAATGTAAAAAACCTAATATATAGGCCCGAGCACGGTATTTTCATAGTCACGTTTACGAGGTCTCACCACAACCCTATATTAGATTTATTTACATAATGCACATATGGTACATCACACAATTAAATATCATGCCCGGGCTTGAATACTACCTTTTTTGGATTTTTAGCTTAATTTCAAGTTGGTCTGGACGGTGGAATTTAGTCGAATTGCATATTAAATGCCGCTTCCCTTTTTAACAAGAGCTCGTGTACAGTATCAGTTGGTTGACATAAATCATAAAAAAACTTACCGAAAAATTAAATAGGGAACATAGTACTAATTTTACCTTTTATTTATATCCTGTTTTGGTATTTTTTTTGTTTGAGTTTCCGAAACATCTTTAGTTCGGTTTAAAGCATTGTTTTGCAAAATTTTGATGAAATAAAGTTGATAAACCTTGAAATTTTGGCTTTTGGCTTAAAAAGGCGCAATCGATCTATACTATGTGACATATAATCCGAACACCCAGTTTAAATGGTTTTATTTTAATAAAATTTTGTATAAGTACTTAATGAAGCATAATAAGTAAATGATAAAAATTTCAAAATGATTGCACTGCTTTAAAGCCCTTTGACCTTTAATAATGTGTGGATGCACCGTGATGTGTTACGCATTCTCCAACGCGCCTAGGCATGCTTCTGATCAGGTGGTCAATGTCCTCCTGTGGTATCTCATTCCAGGCAACCACCAACTCTTCTCGAAGTGCTTCTAGAGTCTGAGGAGGACGTTGCAAATTGAGCAATCTCCTACCCATCATATCCCACACGTGCTCAATTGGGGATAAGTCGGGAGATCTTGGTGGCCATGGTAACAATGTGACATCATTATGTTGAAAGAAGTCTATTGTGACTCTTGCAACATGTGGTCGGGCATTATCTTGTTGGAAAGTTGGATCTGCCAGGGTGGCAAGATAGGGTAAAAGATGGGGTTCTAGAACTTCGTGGATATAACGCTGCGCGTTCATGTTACCTCTGATGAAGATTAAAGGTGACCTGGAACCATAAGCTATAGCATCCCAAACCATAACTCCAACAGTGTGATGAACATGTCTTTCAAAAAAACTGTGGATTCCTCCTTTCACCACGTCGCCTTTTAACCCTGGCATCGTGCATGCCTAAACAAAATCGAGACTCGTCACTAAAGACAATACTGTTCCATTCCTGATCCCAGAGCGACCGTTGTCTGCATCACTCAAGGCGATTACGTCGGTGTTCTCGAGTTAAATGGAGGACCCAGTGTGGCCGGTATGAAAACAAGCCAAAACTTCTCATTCCTCGGTAAATACTTCGCATGCCAATAGGTCTTCCGTGTTCTGCAAACCATTCATTTGCAATGGACCTGCTAGTGAGAAACGGTCCCTTAAGGTCAATAATCACGGTCTGTTGTTCTACGGCGGCGTCCAGTGCCCCTTGCTCTTTGCGTACGGCCTTCTCGAAGCCATGCCTGACAACACCTAACCACAGTGTCTACACTTCCTTGCACTCTAACTGCAATTGCCCGAAAAGAAAGTCCACCTTCCTGAAGCCCCACTATACGGCTCCTATCAAACACTAAGTTGACGAAATTGTACAGGTCTCCGTACTCTAGGCATCGTAACCGATCGTAAAGGATGTCAAGAACCAAAATCCGCCAACGTTGATTCTTTACTGCGGCTGAAATATTCATTTTTAGAGCGTTAGTGAATTAAAAAAAAAGCAGTATAAAAACCGGAATGTCCAACTGATAAAGCTGAAAATTTTTTCACTTGTTATTTACAGTAAGATAAATACATTCACCAACTTTTATTAAAATAAAACCATTTAAACTGGGTGTTCGGATTTATATGTCACTTAGTATATTTGACTAATTGGTTAGCAATCTTCATTGCTTTTTTTTCTCTTCTACGTAAAATGTGTTGATTTTGATAGAAAACAAGAAAGTTGAAAAACCTAGCCCGGCCCTGGATTTTTCAACCATGCAACGGATTTTTCGTTACTCCTGGGTAATTCTGTTATCGTTCAAAATTTCAAATGGTACCCAGAGATGTGTGATATTAAAGATTTGGCGTATTTAGGTAAATCCGAACTAAACTGAATCTGGAACTTTTTACTTTCTGATATGAAAACGTCTTGGTCCATACTACCTAACATTTCACCATGTCCATTTAAGTACGACACACTTTGTATAGAGATGTTACGAGCAAAGACGATAATCGGCGCTAACATTATTGGTCGGACAATGACGTGATGCCCGTTCTTCTTGGATAATTTCACGTCTAGGCGTTCACGGTAATCCCACTGCGGAACAACAAGTTTGTTAATATTCTCATTTTAATGGAGTTGTCCGATCATTGCTAAGGATAACCAAGAAGGGCTAAGGATATTGATATGGTACAAATCTTGAGATAATCGCAGCTTCGAAAAAAAAACTAAAAACAGCCAGGACGAAACAAACATTAAAACCTGAAAAGGGTTGAATTGGCGTCGAATACTTTACTCCTGTAATCTCAGTAAAGCCGCGTACAGACCGAAAATCCAACGCCGAGCAAATGAATGCAAGCACATGTGACCTTGACGTTTGTTGTTGGAAGGTATTGGAAAGCACTCGTCTACCCCTAAATTTAGTTTGGAGTTGGACCGCGTTGGGTTATCTTCGGTGCTAATGTCGAGCGACGAGTCTCCTCTCATCGAATGCAGACAAACGACTAAATACTAGTAGCGCAACAAATCCTGTCCAGACTAAATCAAACCTCCCTTTGGTGTACCGATCAAGGAGCAAACGCAATCGAACGGCAACGCCAACCTTGGAAACCGTTGGCTTATGTTGGCTCGCGTCGTACACACCAATTCGAACACCTCCAAATCTGTAACCACATGTCCCTTGGCTTGCGTTATAATTTTGGTCTGTACGCGACTTGAGATTGTTGCTCTTTTAGATGTCATACTTCCCAGAGTCGGGAGACCAATCCTAGTATATGATGATGAGTCAAGCAGAACGGAACAGCTGTCCATGGTTGGCTGTCTTTTGGTCAGACGGACGAAATCATCTTGTTTAGTTTTTTCAGTGGCCAGTAGACTACATTACGATATAGGAAGAATTGTCAGCTATCTAGGCTATTAAACGCGAACTGAGAATCTTTTCTGTTCAAATAAGTAGCTGCTATGCACTCTCCACAGTGGTCGACATTTGTGATAGATGGCGCTTAGCACTGTCTTATTTAGATACTTTCCAGTGTTTAAAAGCGATTTGGGAATTAACGTCATCGGCCGGTCATCAAAGAGAATGCCTGGCCCGCTTTACGCCTTTGCCCTTAATAAGTTCGAGTATACAGGGTGACTTCGAAGTTGAGTCATTTATTTTAACAGTGAGTAGATCTGATCAAAAGAAATGTTTTTTTCCTTTACCATTTTTCTGGTAAAATTAAAGTAACAAAGTTATAGCCCTTTGGAAGTTTGAGTACCGCCCTGCCTATTATATGCTCGTGTTTGGCGACAACGGATATAATCCGCCTGACCGGTTCATCGCATCGGAAACAAAAAAGCGAAAGAATTTGAAACGTTTATCACGATGTTTTTCGTCAGTCGATAAATCCTGAGTGAATAGTAGTGTGTTGCGTGGCTCAAACGAAATCAAAATGGCACATGTTTACGAAAATGCTGAACTTGTGGACATGATTCTTATTTACGGGGGGGCAGTCTTTACAAAATGCTCCCGGATGCATCACGGATTTACGCGAATCGGTTTCCCAATCGAGTGCAACCAACCCCTCGTGCCTTTGTCAATGTAGTGCAAAGGGCTCGTGAATCAGGTGACTTAAGACCTCACAGGTGAGGGCATGCTGCTCCAAGACCGCACGATCAAATACAGGTCCGCACTGAAATACTTGTCGGGAGGATACTTTATTAAACAAGGTAACATTTTTTTTTTATTTTTTTTTATTTTTACACACATATTTGGTTTATCTTCCTTCTACAATCATTATCTGAAAATTAATGACTCAACTTCAAAGTCACCCTGTATGTATATAAGAGCCCAAACCTTTCCTCCTGGATACGACCGTGGAAATCCAAACGAGGTGTTCGTGCTACAGCAATATGGAATATTATTGGTCCAATGAAACACAATATATGTGTAATTGGTGAGTTGGTGGCTGTTGGAATACTGTCAGTTAATCGACCCGGCGATTAGTTGATTGGCGGCAGCGACGCTATTGGAAATTGAAATAGACAATCAATTTGCGGATCAAGTGGATTCTATTGGTTTCCGATAGTCGGCGGTAGTATTTTTGCAAACCGTCATTTGCGGCTTATTGTGTGAAAAGCACACTGACTGGAAAAATGATCAATGTTTGTTTTTATTTCTCAGGCCAATTGGCGAGGAAGTATTATAATCGCAAACACATTCGAAAATAATACAGTGTAGTATCATAGCTTTGGTTTGCCCGACTACAGATGGCTGACTATGGATAGCTTTTTCGGGCTCTCTGACAACTCATCAGCGTTGTCTATTCTTGGTCTCAAGTAGGCCAACGAATTAAAGCTGAGCAACTATATTCTATCCGAATAAAACACGAAGTTTGTTTAATGTCGAGTCCTTATCTACTATAGCACCAGAAATCGGTGGCATCTAACGGCCACAGTGGTGACTCGGCTGTCAAATGCGAACTGAAGTACAGTTCCAATAGTCAGGTTACCGTTTTCACCATAGCAGTAACCGATTCTGATAATTATGGAACTGTGTGCTATCTTATTTGAAGATACTATGTTTTTTGCACGTTACATGACATGCACATTGCACATCTCGAGAAACCATTTCCGTCAGTCATTCTGTATGTCTGTCTACTAGTCACTGGTCGCACTAAAACTTAAAAAATACTGCTTGGATTTTGATAAAATTTTGAAACAAAATTTCTACTATGCCAAGGGACGTGACGAGCGAACATCATTTTTGGTCGATTCCGAGCTTGAATATTTAATTAGTGCCGAAACTTAGCCGTTGTGTAAGTAGTTTTAGGTATATCAAGTCTGAGCAGGAGCCCCGCAACATATATGAGTGTCTCCCAAGGGGGCTTGCCCCCTGGAAAGAAAAGGAAGGAATCGAAGGATTCAATGGATGCAATTATTGAAGATAATTCCCAGGTCGGTAATGATAATACTAAGATCTACAATCAGGAGTAATGCAGGTAGAACTTCCAACTTATCTCCCAAAAAAGCAGATCAACCGCTTTTAACATATGAGCAGACTGATAAGGGGCCCCTATCATGTTTATATCGAAAACAATGAACCAAATTTCTCAGGTAAATTAAATCCAGTTAAGGTTGGTGAAACTATTCTCAAGTTGACAATATGATTAAACGAATTGAATCGATTGGACGCAATAGGGTAAGGATTGCGTTCAAAATTCCATCAGCAGCAAATGTCCTGTTAAATAAAACGATTTTATTCAAAGCTATCAATTTAGACGTTTATATACCCAAATTCATTTTATATAGACAGGGTGTTATTTCGGTGGATAAAGACTTATCAGACGAATACTTGTTGGAGAGGATCAAACCTTTCGATTCTCACTGCATTTCTCGCTGGATTCGGTTAAACGCATGCACCGGAAATCAGATCAAAATGGTGACATTAAATATCTGCCTGTAAATAAGGTTGTAGTGTTACTTTTCAAGCGCAAGAATTGCCTAAGCGTGTTGCTATAAATCACGTTCTTTTTGATGTAAATCATTATATACAGAAGGTAATTCTGTGTCATAACTGTATGCGTTATGGTCATTTGGGTCAATGTAGAAGCAAGCCTAGGTGTGCAAAATGTCACGAAGAACATGTTACTAGCTCATGCCACAACGACTCTTTGGAACAAAAATGTTTAATTTGCGATGGCAGTCACTACTCATTTGAAACCTCAAATAATGAATTTGAGAGGCAAAAGGTAATTAAAAAGCATATGGCAATGACTAATTCTTCTTTTAGAGACTCAAACAATGCGGTGCCAAAAACCACATATGCTTCAGTTACAAAAAATAATCCCATTACGCCTCAAGAAATCAATAGTTCTAATCTTCCATCTCAATCATCAAACACTCAAACATCAATAAATATTCCAAATGCGAATTCGCACTTTACACAAAGGTTGTTTGAAACGGAACTCGCCTTCCTCGTCAGATTTGACAGAAGAAGCTAGGAGACAAATTATAAGTCAAATAAACACTCCACAGGTACCCTGGGGTATCACTAATAACCCCAGTTACTGTGTACATGAATTTAATACGAGAGATGAGACGTTCATCCAACATGTTTCAGAATTGGTTATATTTGTTCTTACAAATTTTAGAGAAACAAACATCAACAGCTTGAATAAATCAACTATAACTAATCTCATAAGAGAAAGATTAAATAAGACAAATAAGTTTAAGAATTAAGAAAATTACAGTATATTTTTAATCATTTTACACTTTTACCAACGTGTTCGTACGTTATGAAAAACATAAAATAGAATCTATACAATGCATTTAGAAACACAATGAATTTTTTGAGGATATGTCAATGGAATTGTAGATCGGCTATAGCAAATAAAGGTAATTTGGAACACCTTTTAGAAGAACAAAATGTGGACATCGCACTTTTGTCTGAAACCTGGTTTAAAATGAATACATATGTAAAATTTAAAGGTTATAACGTTGTCCGTCAAGACCGGAGGCTGACTGATGAGAAATAGTTTAAAATATTCTCAAATATCATTAGTTGCTTGTAATAAAATAATGAAAGTATGTTCTACAGTAAAGTTTCAAGGAATCTCAGATATTACATTCGTATCAGTATATATTAAACCACAAACCAAAATCACTAAACAGGAATGGATACAATTTTTTAGTTCCTTACACAGTCCATGTATTATAGGAGGTGATTTTAATGCACATCACACTTCATGGGGTTGTGCTCAGGAGGACGTATTTGGGAAAATCCTGATTGAAGCTCTAGATGACAGTAATCTCAGTTTTATTAACAATGGAGATCCAACTTATGTAAAATATCAATCAAAATCAGCAATAGATCTTACATTATGTTCACCTCAAATTCATCATCAGCTAGAATGGCGAACCTTGCCAGACCCATGTGGTTCAGATCATTTGCCTATACTTATCAATTGTAATTTTACTCCAGAAAAATTGTCATTTGCATCAAATAGAAAATGGAACATAAACAAAGCTTGCTGGAATCAGTTCTGTTTCGAGAGTATAAATAGATCTTATGTAGAACCAGCACTTTCATCAAAAATGTTAACCAGTCAGCTGAAGCTTCTATTCCGAAATATGAAAACAAAAATAATGTCAAAGGAAAACCATGGTGGACCAATGAATGTAATATAGCAGTAGAAAAACGTAAGGATAGTTTTAGACTATATCAGACAAACCCAAACCTCGAAAACTTACTTAATTTTAAAAACTTGACGCGAATGCCAAACAAATATTCAAAAAGGTTAAAAGAGAAAGTTGGCGTCAATATTGTTCATCTTTAAATAGTAACACCCCACTTAAACAAATTTGGAAGCAAGTTAACTTGTAAAAAATAGGCGACAGAGTAATTATCATGTTATAGAAGCTTCAGCAGAGTGGGTACAGGAATTTCATTGTAAGTTGGCCCCAAATTATGTAAGCAACAACATCCAAAGAAGAATCTCAACGTGGACTAACCATGAACTGATGCAACCTTTTACCTTGATAGAATTACAGAGAGTCTTCAAACAGAACAACAATACATCTCCGGGAAAGGACCAAATTCATTATTCGATGTTATACCAACTACCTACAACAACGAAACAATCGTTATTGGATATTTTCAATCAAATATATTGTGGGAATGCTGAAATACCGAAAGATTGGTACGATTATATAATTATTCCAATTCTGAAACCTGGAAAACCAGAACATCATCAAGATTCATATCGTCCCATTGCACTAGCTTCATGCGTTTTGAAAACTTACGAAGACTCATAAAGAACAGGTTGGAATTCTACTTGGAGAAAAACCAATTGCCCCAAGCTCGCAATATGGATTTCGAAAAGGACGGTCTACTCAAGACTTACTGATAGTTAACAACTGATATCCAAATTGGATTTTCGAATAACACGCATACTTCTGTAATATTTTTAGACGTTATGGGAGCTTATGATAATGTAGACTTGAATATACTATACAGTAAAATTATAATATTGGTCTTCCAAAAGAACTTGCCAACCATTTGTTATTACGTATAGCAATAGAAACATTTTCATCAGAGCCTCTGAGCAGACTATTGGACCACGATCAACATCTAAAGGACTAGCACAAGGGAGTATATTGAGTCCCATCTTGTATATAATATATTCCTATGACTTTGAAAGAGCTTTTAATTCAAGAGATGCTAAAATATATCAGTTTGCAGATGACTGTGCCATTAGTATCCAAAAAAAATTTATCTCAATGGAACTTCTAGAAACAGCGACTTCCATTGCACACGAATGGTTTGAGAATAATGGATCTTCCATTGCCTACTCAAAATCTTGTGTATGTACGTTTACCAGATCTCGCCTTAGTCCTTCAAATATCATCACTCTGGCTGGGCAGAATATATCTTATAAAACTTCTGTCAAATATCTAGGAGTTATCCTAGATAAAAAACTTAACTGGAAAGAACATATTACATACATTTTAAAGAGAAGTCAGAATGCTTTTAACATTCTGAAGTCCTTTTCACATCGGAAATGGGGAGCAGATCCAGCAGTGTGCTTAACCTTTTACAGGACCTTAGTTCGATCAATCTTGGACTACGGATCAATACTTTATGGAAATGCATCTAGAATTCATCTTCAAAAAATAGAACAGATCAAAAATAAGTGCCTTAGGCTATGTATCGGATATTTGAATACACTCCCATCAATGTCATGGAGGTCGAATGTATCGAACCTCCCTTCAATTGAGACGACAAATGTTGAGCGATAAAGCCTGGTTAAACTGGTCAGCAGGGGATTCATTAACGAGATCCACCAATTGTTTATTCATGGATTAACAGCGAAATACTGGCAACACAAAAGGCTTCCTCTGATCATAGAGAGTTATGAGTGGCTTCTTCCTACCGTCAAGAAGGTACACTCTAATCAAATCAACCCATGTTTCATACCTGAATATTCGGCATATAACTCTCCACCCGAAGTTATATTTACGAAATATTCCGAACTAGATTTATCAACACCTTACAAATTCCGGCATGATATTCGAACACGATGGAGTGGATGGGAATATATCTTCACGGATGGTTCGAAGAAAGACAATTTAGCGGGATGTTCATTTTATCACAGCAACAATTCGTATCACCAAGAATTCAAGTTGCCACCTGAATGTTCGGTATACACAGCAGAACTGGTTGCGATCAACCAAGCTATTGAATACTGTTTCCAATTCTATTATTTTTACCGACTGTAGAAGTGCTGTAACAAAATTGGAGAATTGTCACCCCACTGCAGATCTTAATCATCTAATTGCGAACATCATCAAGCGCATTCAGGAGCTGAATAGAATCGACAAAACTATAACATAGTCTGGATCAAAGGCCACTCAGGTATAAAAGAAAACGAGATGGTAGATAATTTTGCAAAAAGAGCTAAACTAGAGGCGATTACGTTCCGGGCATGGAGATTCCTTTTACTGACGCTCATTTTCTGATCAGACAACGACTAAAGAATAAATGGAATAACCATTACAAAATCAGTCCAACAGGAAGTTACCTGAAACGTATACAAGAGACTCTTCGAAGCAGACCTTGGTTTCAAGGAATTACCAATCGTCCTTACATTAGAACCGTGAGCAGAATAAGAAGTGGTCATTCCTAACGCCCCATCATAAATCAAGAATTGGATACGGCGATGATCCACTTTGCAGTTGTGGAAATATAGGAACCTTGCAACACTTTATTAGAATGTACAAGTTCTAACAACGAAAATTCTGAATTGTATAAAATTTTAGCGAATCACCTTCCTTTGCCTCTAATTTAGAATCAATTCTCAGTTCTGAGAACCAGCAAGTTTACGAACTTTTATACAAGCATTGTCGGAAAGTAGGCCTAACATTATAAAATGTAAATTACAGTAAGTTTGTTTGAAAAATGAAAAAAAGAAGAAAAATATTGAAAAAAAAAACAAAAAAGCAGATCAGTAAAAACAATCTTATAAACAAATAGAGAAAAGAAAAAATAAGAAAAAGTATTGGTTAAAAAAAAAAAAAAAAAAAAAAACAAAAAAAGAGAAATATGTGTTTGCCATACTCTATGTAAGTATAATAGAAATAATATACAATAGTAATATTAAGTAATGGATGTTCTATTTTCTATTAAAGCATAGCATTATACTGAACATAAGGATCTGGCGAGTTGGTCATCGACCAGTGCCAATGTGCCAATAACAGAACAAAAAAAAAAATACTATGCCAAGGACAAAAATAGCGGTGCCAAGGATAGGTGCTTTTCAAGACCGTTAACACCTTCACTTTCATTACATACATATACTACTGATTTCTACCTGGTACTTATATCTAGTGTCTGCAGATGAACATACAACCTATGTTGCCATGTCGTCAAGTTTAAAATGAGAGACCCTGCAATAGTTATATTTACATTTTGCGACAGAGCACGATTTTTGTAATTTCTTAATTTTCACCTAATAATATTTCATAGTTTCATTGTATTTTATTAACCTCTTACTTCATGGTTTGTAAATGCAGAGCTTGGATACCTAGTACTGAATGAAATTGAATCGTTATTCTACGAATTGAATGCTCTGAATGTAGAGTGCCGTTATAGACCAGTGAGCCGCTGTGGATCGTCGTCGACCCACTCACTAATTCCGTATGTCGGCTTAAGCTTCCAGTTTGACGGTTGATGACATTTCACATTGAATTCGTACTTTTCTGCGAAAATATTATAACAGCGCGTGGTTTCCATTCAATCCTAGTGTCCCAGACAGTTTCTGAAACTTGAGGAGGTTTTGTGGATTTGCAAAAAGTAATTTCAACTGAATAACAGCAGATCTTTTTATCGACAAGTGTTATAATTATAATATAGTGATCGGTGTGACGACATGGCATTTACCACGAAATTGGGCTTTTACCTGTACAGTTGTGAGGTATTTTTAATTATTTTCATTTTACTTCT